CCGTGGAATGAGCGCTGTGGCTGGGACACCAACGCCTGCTCCGCGTGCACCGATTGCGCCACGGCGTGCGCCGCGCCCAGGTTCGTCAAGGACAACGTGTGCGTGGCCTTCTGGCCTTACAAGTGCGCGACGAACACCTACGTCCTCAACAACGAGTGCACGGCCTGCCCGAGCGGCCACACGTGCGACGGCGCCGCGGCGACCAAGACGCTCAAGAAGACCGCAGCCGAGCGCGCCGACTGCCTCGCGGACGGCGGGTCCTGCGGCAAGTGCTGCGAGGGCATCACGGGTGCGTGCGTCACCGAATCAAAATATTTGAACACTCTCACCGACGAGGACGACTGCGTGCTCCTCAAGGGCATTTCCAACAAAATCGAGGCGACCTCCCCGCGTCTGAAACGTCCGTGGCTCTTCTTCGCCTCAGCGCGGCGCGTAGGGAGGAGGCGGCGACGACGCGATCGTCGTCAAGGGCGACGGCAACCACCTCCACGTCAGCGTCTCCCGCGTCCATCCGGGATCCCCATCCGTCGCCGCCTCGTCCGCGCGCGCGCGGCCCGACGCTCGCGTCGACGCTTCGCGCACGCGTAGGGAGGCGAGGGCAAGGACGCGCTCACCGTCGTCGAGGGCGTATACAACTACCTCTACGTCAGCGTCTCCCGCGTCCGTCCGGGATCCCCATCCTTCGTCGCCTCGTCCGTGCGCGCACGGCCCGACGCTGGCGTCGACGCTTCGCGCGCGCGTAGGGCGGCGACGGCGAAGACGCGCTCACCGTCGTCAAGGGCGACGCCAACCAACTCTACGTCAGCGTCTCCCGCGTCCGTCCGGGATCCCCACCCGTCGTCGCCTCGTCCGCGCGCTCGGCCCGACGCTCGCGTCGACGCTTCGCGCACGCGTAGGGAGAGGCGAACAACGACAAGCTCACCGTCATCGAAGGCACCTACAACCGCCTCTTCGTCAGCGTCTCCCGCGTCCATTCCAAAAACCATCGCCGCGTTCTCGACATGTTCTTCGTAGGGCGGCGCCGGCGAGGACACCTTCTACCTTCCCGACGAGACAACGCAAGAGTCGATAACGGACGGCAAAGGCAACGCCACCTACAAATCCTCCACGCCGCTCATCGTCGGCCTCTGCGTCGGCGCGGCCGTCCTCGTCCTCGGCCTCGCCGTCGTCGTCCGCAAGCTCCGCGGCCGCGCCGCGGAGGAGACGTCGATGCCGCAACCCGACGCGGAGGTCCAGGTCGAGGCCTGAGGGAGCTAGCTCCCTCGAACCAAGAAGGCGCGATCGAGCCCTGGGAGCGCGCCCGGCGACGAGTTCGTCGAAAGCCAGGACGGCCCCGAGATCACGCTTCCCCGGGCGCCCCGCGGAGGATCCAGGCGGTCCGCCGCCGCCGCTCCCCCCAGGGCGGCCGCCGCCGCGGTGGAAGTAAGGGCATTCGTGTCATGTTGGGTGAGATCTATAGGTCGAGCTCACGCACGTGGGCGAGCGGGTCGAGAAGGTGAGCGTCGTCGTCCGAGGGAACGTCGTCGCGCACGCCATCAAGCGCGACGCGGCGCTTCGGCGGCGCGCGAGCCCCCCACCCCCCCGGATGCGACGGACCCACAGCTGCGGCGACTTACGGACCCCCCCTAGTTCGTGAAGCAGAGGAGCGCGACGCCGCGGAGGATCCAGTGCTCGGGCTTCTGCTGGCACGCGAGGGTCACGGAGAAGATGATGTACTTGTCCGTGCGCTTGACGTACTTGTAGACCGGGCAGACGAAGCCCCCGAAGGGCCCGAGGTCCGCGCCCTTGCGCTGGCTCTTCGTCACGGCCGTCACGAAGAGGATGGGCATGTCGCAGAAGAGGACCTTGGGCGCGGACTCCGCGAGCGAGTTCACGGACTTGTCCCAGGTCGCGCCGTCGAGGAAGAGCCCCGAGATGTAGACGCCCTCGGGCGGCGGGTTGCGCACCTGCTCCACGCGGTCGTACTCGGTGACCTCGGAGTTGAGCGCGACGCCGTCGAGCGCCCACTTGTCCGCGGCGTGCGCGCGCGTCACCTCCTGCTGCACGGCCGTGAGGAACCCCGCCGGGTTGAACCAGCCCGGGAACCAGTAGGTCTTCGGCCGCCCCTTGGCGCCGAGCCAGTCCCGGAGCTGCTTGTCGCGCGCGGCGAGGCCCGAGACCCACAACCCGATCGTCGGCGCGAGCCACGAGATCTCGTCGCCCGCGGGGTTGTAGGTCCAGAAGTGGGGCACGCGCGCGTCGTAGACGCTGTTGATGGCGTCGATGATCTGCTTCGTGATGACGACCTCGCCGCGGATCGCGCCGAGCATCGTCCCGAGCTCCGCGCGGACGTCGTCGAGCACCAGCTGGAACCGCTGCACCTCCTGGGCCAGGAACACGTCGAGGGGCTGGCTCAGGTCCAGGGACCGCATGGAGTCCTCCTCGACGTAGTCCGCCGGCATCTGCGACAGCGTCTCCTCGCACTTCTCGTAGACGACGTCCTCGCGCGTCCGGCCGCCGCCGACGTTGCCCGACTTGGGCTGCGTCTCCAGGATCGTGTTCAATAAATTTTGCACCTCCTTGTTCCGGAAGGTGAGGTCCGCGTTGGGATGGAGCCCGAAGACCTCGGGGCTGTCGACCTCGGGGAACGTCCGCGTGAACGCCGCGAAGTCGTCGAACGTGTCGCCCGCGGGCACGGAGTAGACGAAGTCGTCGGGCAGCTTCTGGAGCGTCTGCTCCGGGTTGAACTTGAAGCCGGGCTTCGTCGTCGCCAGCGTCAGCCACGTCTCGCCGTAGGTCTTGAAGAGCCGCCGGTCCAGATCGTCCGTGATCTTGCCGCCGTACTGGACCTCGGAGACCATGTACTGGAGCGTGGGCCAGGACAGCTGGCCGTGGAAGAGGTGGCGCTCGAGGAAGGTGAGGCACGCGTTGAGGTCGCCGTCGTTGAACTCGTAGGGGATGCACCAGCCCATGGACCCGTACTTGCGCCGCTCCTGCACGATGGAGTGGAGGAAGCAGAGCGCGTAGACTAAAGACCGCCACTGGGCCGTCTCGATGCGCTCCATGCGGTCCTGGTCGATGATGACCGTGTAGGACCGCATGAGGCCCGCCCGCAGGCCCGACGGCGGCTCGTTCGTGACCTTGATCGCGAGCTGGAGCAACCCGATGGGGAACTTCGGGTGCGGCTCCGTCGTGATGAAGAGCCTGGGCAGGACAAGAGTGATTCAACGTCGCTTCAACGTGAGTGTGCCGCGCGCGCGCGTTCCGGAAACAGCACCCACGCTTCGAGGCCGTTCCGAGAGATGATCGCTCGTCCAAAGATCAGCCGAAACGAGTGGAACACGGCCGAGAAAGGAGCCTTTGAAGTTGGGAAGTTCGCTCTCTTGTCCTGCCCTGTGAAGAGCCGGAAGTCGGGCAGGCAGCCCGAGCCCTCGAGCTTGATTTTTGCGAGTAAATCCTCGAGCCCGTCCATGAACGGCAGGCCCAGGTGGCAGTTCTGGAGCAGCACCCAGTCGCCGTTCACCGTCGCGTTGTTGATCGCCCGGAGCGCGACGGGCTCCTGGCCCTCGCCCATGGACACGCAGGTCACGACCTTCTTCTTCTTCCGCGCCAGCGTCTCTACCGAGTCCGTCGGGTCCGCGCCGGCGCTCAAGAGGTAGATGACGGGCACGGGCGGCGACATGTTCGGGAAGATCATCTCGATGGTCTCGTTGATGGGCTGCACGTACTTGGGCCCCAGCGCGGGCAGCTTGAAGCCGCCCACGTCCAGCGTCTCCATGCCCCGGATGAAGTCGTTGACGCACAAGATCGTGCGGTCCTCGCGGAGCGCGCGCACGAGGAGCATGCGCGAGAACTGGCCGATGGACGCCTTGTCCGCGGTGAACCGCGTCTCGTACCTGGGCAGGAAAAGGGTGCGAAATTCCCAACGTCAAAGGCTCCTATCTCGGTCGTTTTCCGCTCGTTTCGGCTGATTTTGGGACGAGCGATCATCTCTCGGAGCGCTCTCGAAGCGTGGGTGCTATTTCCGAACGCGCGCGCGCGGAACACTCACGTTGAAGCGACGTTGAATCACCCTTTTCCTGCCCCGTCTCGTACATTGGGATGTCGCGCGCCTCGGGCTCGTTCTCCGCGTACCAGGACCGCCAGGCCGCGTCGTTGCGCATGAGCTCCTCGGGCAGCTGCTTGAAGATGGCGTTCTCGTTGGATAACTGTATCGCGTTGAGCCACGCGGTGTCCGTGAGCCACTGCATGGGCTTCGCGCGCACCGAGTTGATGTCGAGCGCCGCGCCTCCCTTTAAAAACAAAGTCACGTCCGGCGGCTTCAGGCGCTCGGCCGTCACCAAAATCGTAAAGAGGAGCAGCAGCTTGAAGGACAGCCGGTCCTTCTCGTACAGCCCCCGCGAGATCGCGCGGTAGACCTGGTACGTCATCGTGTCGATGACGTTCGCGACGCGCCGGCTCGCGAGCGACGCGCGCTCCGCGAGGTCCATGGCCGCGTCGAACAAGGCCTGGAACTGGTCCAGGGACGTCTGGTACATGACGTTAACCTGCGACATGTCGACGATCGTAAAATAGAGCACGGAGCCGCGCGTCGCCGCGGGCCGGTACTGCTCGCGCTTGTCGTTGATGGACTCGCGCGTCGTCGCGGCCGCGTTGAGCTTGTCGTTGACCTCGAGGGCTTTCGTTTTCGTCTCCGCGAGCACGGCGATGAGCTCCTCGTCGTCGAGGAGGTTGCCCGAGTTCGCGCTCAGCCGCTCCAACAGGAGCTCGTCCAATCGTAACAGCGCCTTCGTGTTCGTCGACACCTCCTCGAGCACCGTGTTGAGCTGCTCCTCCAGGGACCGCTGCTCCTTCTGGATGACGCGGCCCAGGAGCTGCTCCTCCAAGCCCTTCATGGTCACGGTGAAGTCGACGACCGTCGTCTTCGCCTGGTCCTCGGGGCTGAACGTCGGGTTCGGGAGCCGCGTCGTCAGGTAGAGCATGAACTCGTCCTGGTACTCGCAGAGCTTGTCCGTGATGTTGATGTACTTGGACTTGCCCTTGACGATGACCTGCTTCTGGAGCACGGGGTCGAGCATGGGGTCGAGCTCCTCCTCGATGCCCGTGACGATGAGCGCGCGGCCCTCGGCCATCGTGAACTCGACCTGGTCCCGGAGCCGCGGGTTGTTCAGCGACGTCGGGCCGAAGGTGGGCAGCCGCGCCTCCTCGTGGCACTTGATCCAGTTCAGCGCCTGGCCCTGGGGGTCGATGAGGAGCGGGTAGCGCGACGACCGCGTCACCAAAATGCCGTTCTGGATCGACAGGGGGTCCGTCGGCAGGCCCTCGAGGTTCCAGTCGCCCATCTCGCCGACGTCGACGAGGAGCGGGATGATGTCCAGGCTCGGCGAGCAGGGCACCGCGCGCTTCTTCAGGTCCGACGTGAGCCGGTTGTGGACGATGTAGTCGCGGAACTCCTGGTTGAAGGGGCCGCAGTAGGACACGAAGGCGCAGCCGATGGCCACGTCGCCCACGAGGGCCTTCTTCGTCTGGTCGAACTTGTGGCTGTCCTCGGTCCACCGCGCGCGCTCGCCGCCGAGGCCGCCGATCAAAGCCGTCGCCTGCTCCATCTTCTTGCGGGTGGCGAGCGCGCCGGCCTCGATCTGCTCCTTCTTGGCCATCTGGGCCTCGAAGTCGGCCTGGAGCCCCGCGAGCACGTCCATGCACGCCTGGAGCTTCGCCTCGGCCTTGTCGAGCTCGCGCTGCGCGTCCGCGAGCCGCGCCTCGGCGATGCGCAGCGCCTCGAGCTTGGGCTTGACGATCTTCGACGCCTCGTGGTAGGAGCCCATGGCCCGGCTCCAGGCGCACAGGCCCTCCGCGGCCTTGGACGCGTTGCGCGCGACGAGCGTGTTGTACTCCTCGATCTCGACGTACGGCGCCATGAGCTCGATGGTCTCGTCGTTGATGAAGTCCTTCTCGTACTTGCTAAAATAAAAGATGTTCTGCAGGAAGCGCGCGTCGCTCAGCAGCCCGCCCTGCATGAGCTTGTACGAGTCGCGGACGAACTGGAACGTCCGCTTTTCCTTGCCGATGCCCATCGTGACCTCGCAGAGCTCGACCTTGTTGAGCTTCTCCATCTTCAGGATGCCGACGACGTCGAAGATCAGCTTGATGATGTCCGACGGCTTCTGGAGCTTCTTGAGCTCGTTGAGGTCGTTGGGCTTGATGGAGTTGACCGCGCGCTCCGCCTCCTCGACGAACGGCTGCGCCTTCGCCAGATCCTTCTCCGCCTCGGCCTTCTCGCCGGCGATGCGCTTCGCGTCGGCGACGCAGGACTCCTTGATCTTGCCGACGGCGTCGGCCTCCTTCTTCGCCTCCATGGACGACTGCTGGAGCTTGCCGAGCATCTCCGTCGTCGCCTCGTTGGCCTTCTGGAGCTTCACCTCCTCGTCCGCGAGCACGAGCTTCATGGACTCGACGTCCTCGGCGCCCTTTTGCAATTTCTCGAGGCCGACCTGGACGCGCGACGCCTTCTGCTCGATCTCGCCGAGCTTGACGGCGTAGACCTTCTGGTAGTCCGCGAGGAACGAGAGGTAGGACCGCGGCGTCTGGTAGACGCGGCGCCGCATCTTCATGTAGTACTCGTCGCAGGACTCGACGATCATGTGGTGCACGAAGGCCATGTGCTGCATGAGGTTCTTCTTCGTCTCCGGCTCGCACTGGATCTCCATGGCGCCGATGAAGCCCTCGGACACCGCGATCAAAGCCTCGCTCGGCCAGCTCAGGAACCAGTCGAGCGCGCAGCCGTTGATGAGGCCCGGAAACTTGCGCGCGCGGTCCGCGAACTTGGCGTTGACGGGCGAGAAACATAAAACGACGTGCAGGTTCTGGCGCACCGTGTCGAAGAAGTTCTTGACGAGAAAGTCGGGCGTGTCCGAGTAGTCGGGCCGCTTCGTCGCGAACTGGCGGATCTCGCCGGCCATGATCTGGAGCTCGTCCTTGGGGAAGAGGCCCGAGATCTCGCCCGTCATGAGCAGCGAGTTCAGCAGCTCCAGAAAGTTCTCGTCCTTGATCTGCGCGTCCGTGAAGATGAACGTCGCCTTCCGCCGCTGCTGGCCGCAGACCTGGGCAGGAAAAGGGTGATTCAACGTCGCTTCAACTGAGTGTTCCGCGCGCGCGCGTTCCCAAAAAAGCGTCCACGCTTCGAGACCGTTCCAAGAGATGATCGCTCGTCCAAAAATCAGCCGAAACGAGTGGAAAACGGCCGAGATAGGAGCCTTTGAAGTTGGGAATTTCGCTCTCTTTTCCTGCCCTGCCGCAGACCTTGTACATCATGCGCAGGTCGTCGAGGAAGGAATTCAGGTTGTAGGTCTTCGTCAAGGAGATCTGGAAGGGCTGGGCCCCGGCCATGTAGGCCGCGAGGTGCGTCAGCGACTGCTTGCCGGAGCCGCCGACGCCGACGAGCATCATGTTGCCCCGCGGCATGCCCAAGACGCGCGAGATGCGAATGAGGTGGAGCAGCGCGTCGTCGAAGATGATCAAACTCATCTTGCGGCCCGGGTGCTCCTCGTTGTAGCGGCCCAGGAAGCCCAGCGTGCGCTCCCGCAGGCTCTCGAGCGGCCCGCCGACCTCGTAGATCTTCGGCGCGAGCGCGACGAGGATCCCGTCCTCGTCGTACTCGTCGTCCCGCAAAAAGTCGACGAAGTGGGCCCGCTCCATGCACTTGTCGTGGATGTCGGCGCCCAGCGACGCCGCGGAGCTCTGCTGCTGCGACGACCCGGGCCGGCCGCCGCCCGAGTCGCCGCCGCGCGCGGACCCGGCCTTGCGGCCGCCCTTCTTGCCGCCGCCCGACGCCGTGTTCGCACGCGAGTTGTCCGCCGACGCGCCGCCGCCGCCCGACGCGCTCGGCGGCGAGATGAGCGTCGCCGTGTTCGAGTCCAATTCCGTCGCGAAGAGGTCCTTGTCCGCCTGTGTGGAAATCAACCGGTGAGCCGGGACGTCCCGACCAAACTTTGACATTCTCTCGCTCGGTCACATCGAAGTCGATTCGGCTGATTTTTGGACGAATCGATGGCTCTCAATGGATTCTCGAAACACGGCAGAAAATGTCGCGTCGAAGCTGTTTCATACGCTCACATTGAAGTCGGGTTGAAGATTTCACGCGGGCGTCCGCGAGCGACACGAGCTTGTCCGCGAAGACGCGCTCGGCCTCGTGGCGCCAGAGCTGGACGATGACGTGGTCGCCGGAGAACGTCGACTTGGGCGTGCGCAGCACGCCCTGGAAGAGGCGGCTCAGGTCCCGGAGCGTGAACGTGTAGTGGAACTTCGTCGGCGACGGCAGCATCTTCGCGCGCATCCACTTGAAGAGCGCCATCGTCGTCGCGGGCATGCGCTCGACGAAGCCCTGGAACGAGTCGCCGAGCCCGCCAAAGTCCTTGGCGTTGAAGCGCGAGCCCAACAATTGGCCGTAGATGGACTCGATCGTCGCCTCGGACGGCGTGATGATCGTGAACGTGAAGAAGTGGCGCTTGATGCGGTTCGGCACGTCGTTCTTGCCGCCACCCGGCAGGTCCATGGCCGCGACGTAGTGGAGCTTCTCGATGTTCTTGAAGTCGCCGCGCTTGTCCTTGTCGAGGAAGCAGACGCCCGACGTCTCGATCAACTGGCGCACGAGCTCGAGCGTCGGCTGGTCGCCCCAGACGTTGACCTCGGGCATGGACAGGTCGTCGAGGAAGAAGGTCATCTTCTTGCCCCCCGGCGGGCCGAAGTTCTTGCCGCCCTGCTTGTCGAGCTCGGCCTCGATGGCCTGCTGGAACCTGGGCGGGACAAGCGTGCGAAACTCCCAACTTTGGAGGCTCCTCGCTCGGTCGTCTTCCACTCGTTTCGGCTCATTTTGGGACGAGCGATCATCTCTCGGAGCGCCCTCGACGCGTGGATGCTTTTTTTTTGAAACGCGCGCGCGCGGAACGCTCATGTTGAAGCGAACGTGAAGCGCTCGTTTCCCGCCCCGGCCGGAACATGCCCGGCGTCGTCGCGGACGAGAAGTTCATCTTCTTCAGGAGCATGTGGTCCGCGTTGAACGTGTCGAAGAACGTGAGCGCGTTCGACGTCTTCGCCGTGCCGGACCCGCCGACGAGGAGCACGGGCTGGTGCATCTCCTGCATGTACTTCATGAGCGCCGTCGACCGGCACGTCTCCATCGTCGGCACGAGCACGGAGCTCCAGTCGTCGACGTCGCCCCGGGGCGCCTTGAAGGTCGCGGGGCTCCAGCGCTCCCACTCCATGGTCTCCATGTTGACGGCGTACTCGAAGATGGTCTCGCCGTCGGCGACCTCGCGCGGCGTGTTCGCGGACGCCGCGGGCCCCTCGCGGAGCCACGCGTCCCACTTCGCGCCTGTGCCGAATTCAAATATTCAACACGACTTCAATGTGAGCGTATTCGAATGTTTTGACACAAGAATTTTCACTGTGCTTCGAGAACTCGATGAGAGAAAACGATCCGTCCAAAAATCAGCCGAATCGACTTCGATGTGACCGAGCTAGAAAATTCTCAAGTTTGGTCAGGACCACCCAAACCAGTGGTTGAATTCGGCACAGCTTCGCGCGGTCCTCGGCCTCGAGCAGGCCCGCGATGCCCCAGGTGATGGCGAAGAGCACGAGGCGCTCGAGCTCGCCGTCGGCGTCGTCCTGCGACTCGGACAGCTCCGCGTGCTTCAGGAGGGCGGACAGGAGCACGAGCGTGTTCTCGACGGATCCGACGCGCGTCACCGCGAGCGGCTGGCCGCAGGAGCCCCGTAAAAACTCGAAGGCGATGCCCGGCTCGCGGAGCGACTTGCAGCTCCCCAGGTACTTGGAAAAGTGGCCCCGGAGCATGTCGCCGTGGGCCTGCTTGCCGAGCCAGGCCTGGAGCACGGGCTCCCAGTCCAGATCCGACGCGGAGACGAAGATGATGCCCGCGCGGCTCACCGTCGCGGGCGACGCGTTCCGCAGATCCTCGACCTCGAACATGAGCTTGACCGTGTCGGCCATGGGGATGCGGTCGCCGTTGGCCAGCGTCAAAATCTTGTTGTCGTCGAGGACCGTGTTCAGGTTCTCGATCCAGACCGCGTCGACGGGGCCGTCGCAGATGATCCACGTGTTGTCCTTGCGGCTCCGGTCGTTGAACTTGGACCAGATGGACGCGAAGATGCCGTTGAGCCACTCGCCGCTGAGGCGGTCCGTCTCGCCGAACATCTCCTCCGCGCGGATGGCCTTGGGGTTCATGCGCACGCGCTTGTTCTGGACGCCCGTCGTCGCCGTGAGCGCGTCCTGGAGCACCTTGATGATCGTCGACTTGCCGGACCCCGGCGGGCCGACCATCATGATGCCGTGGCGCACGAGCGTCGTCTCGTAGAGCTGGACGACCTTCAAATTCCAGGACGGGTGCTTGATGAGGCCGTACTTGTCGACGACGCCGGACACGACCTTCTGCAGGTCGCCGTGGCCGCCGCCCGACGGCATGGAGATGGCCGGGAAGAGGTCGCCCAGCAGGCTCAGGAAGAGGGGCACGTCCTGGGCGACGAACTTCGACAAATTCATGTCGCGGAGCGTCCGCATGATCAGCAGGTCCTCGTCGTCCTCGGGGTTGTCGCGCTTCGTCTGCCCCGCGGTCCGCAGCACCGACAGGATGTTGCGCAGCCCGAAGTCGTAGTGTTTCTGCTTCGAGAGCTGCTGCTCGCACAGGCGATACAACACGTTGAACTTGCGCGCGAGCTCGGGGAACTTGGAGTAGCCCACGGAACAAAGCTTCACCTTCATGATGATCTCGCGGTCGGGGACCATCATCGACACGCTCCGGAACAGGACCTTCAAATTCTCGGGCAGCTCCTGGCGGCCGGCGTAGCCCGGGTTCATCGTGATGAAGTAGCCGACGTTCAGGTTGAGCTGGATGACCTGGCTGTCGCCCGGGAACGTGAACGTCGACGCGCCGACGCGCTTCCCGTTCGTGATCGCCAGCACCTGCTGCGCGACGACGGAGAGCACGGGCAGCTCGATGCGGTTGAACTCGTCGAAGCAGCCCCAGAGGCCCGCCTGGCACAAGCCCTTGAAGATCTTGGCCATGTCCGTATAGCGCTGCTGGTCCGTGCAGTTCGTGACCTGGGCGGCAACAGAGTGATTCAACGTCGCTTCAACGTGAGTGTTCCGCGCGCGCGCGTTCCAAAAAAAGCATTTAAGCTTCGAGACCGCTCCGAGCGATGATCGCTCGTCCAAAAATCAGCCGAAACGAGTGGAAAACGGCCGAGATCGGAGCCTTTGAAGTTGGGAAGTTCGCTCTCTTTTGCCGCCCCGTTCGTGACCACCACAAAAACGCCGAGCGCGCGGCCCAGGTCCTTGACCGTCTCCGTCTTGCCCGTGCCCGCGGGCCCCGCGGGCGCGCCGCCGAGGTGCATGCCCAAAGCCTGGCTCAGCGTGATGTAGCAGCGGTCCGTGAGCGGCGTGATGACGAGCCGCTCCTTGCACCCGAGGTACTCGAAGTTGTACTGGAAGTCGATGTCGCAGATGGACACGACGCAGGCCGCGTTGCCGTGGAGGTCCCGCGCGTCGTTGCGCCAGTAGAAGCGCGCCTGCTTGAGCCACTCGAAGTCGCCACTGTCCAGCTGCTTGCGCTCCTTGAAGATGCGCGCCAAATCCGCGAAGACGTCGCGCTGGTGCACGTGGATCGTCACGAGCGTCTCGATCTTCCGCCGGTTCATCTTCGTCTTCAAATCCGTCAAACACCAGCTCGACAGCTCCTGGAGCACGGCGAGCTGCTGCTTGTTCGTCTCGCCGACGATGCCCTTCGACGACTTCGACTTGTCCAAGGCCTCCTGGCACTGCGCGGTCCAGTTGAACTGGATGCCCAGGAGCGCGAACTGGGCGCAGTTGCTGTCGATGAACTCCGCGAGCGGCAGCTCGGCGCACTGGGCCGCGGCGACCTCGCAGAGCGCCTTGAGCGACCGCTGCATCTCCTTGACGAGCGCGCCGAGCCAGACCTCGATGGACCCCGCGGCCTGGACGATCGTCGCTAACTTCACAATCTCCTCGTCGGAGCCCGAGATGTTCTTCAGCGCGACGATCTTGCCCTTGTCCTGGCGGTCGTGCGTCACCTGGTTGACGCTGTCGAAGACCTTCTCGTAGTAGGGCTGCATGCGGAGCGGGTCGCTGCCCTGGGACAGGATGAGCAGGAGCACGGGGTTCGACACGAAGTAGAAGCGCGGGAACGTGGACCGCTTCTGCTCCAGGTAGCCCTCGAGCGACTTCTGGCACTTCTCGAGCTCCGCGTAGAGCACGGGGAGCGTGTTGCGCAACAACTCGTTGCCGCACGACGTCACGACGATCTGCGTCTCCGCGGCCTTGATCATGATCTTGACGAAGTCGCGGTCGATCTTGGCGAACTTCTTCGCCTCCAGGGGCATCTGCTTGGCGATGTCGCCGCCCATGAACACGGACTCGAGCGACGTCCACAACAGCTGGACCTTGATCCACAGCTCGAGCGTGTCCGTCGTGTCGCTCAAAGTCGTCAGCTGGAGCGTCACGGCCTCGCGGAAGGGCGTCACGTGGCGCATGGAGAGCAGCGTCTGCAGGTTGAGCTGCGCCTCCTCGAGGTCGTCGATGATCTGCCCGAAGGCGGACAGGATGGGGACGTCGCGGCCCTTCCACTGGCTGAACGTGAACGCGTTCCGCGCCCAGAGCTCCCGCAGATCGTTGAGCTTCGTCTCGATTCCTAATTGTTTATCTGCGCCCTCGCATATCTCCTCGACCTAAAATTTTTCGGGTCATGTTTTGGGTATGAAGACAGGTTTCGGGAGAGACGGTTCCGATCGGTGGCGGCGTGGCAGATCGCCGCCGGAGGCGGCCTTCGGCGGCGGCGGGCGCCGGCGACGCCGCCGCCGTCCTTGGACGGCGGCAGGTGGTGGTGGTGTCGGCGCCCCTCGTACCCAGCGAGGAGGCGGCCATGCCCGCCGCCGTGGCGCGGCGCCGGCGGGCGCCCGGGCGTCCCCCGCCCGGTCCGCGCCGCCGCCGGAGAGAGCAAGTCATGCCCCGCCGCGCGTCCGGGACAGTTTTGTCGAAGATATGTCACTTCAACCAAAATGTTGAAGTTCGGCAAACGCGCGCGATGGTCGGACGCGGGGGCGCGCTTGTTCGCGGAATTTAAGCACAGGACTTTCGAAGATGTCCTGCAATTGGAAGGCCTCCTTGTCGTAGGGGAGACTTGCTCCGATGGTCTCGAAGAGCTCTAGCCAGTGCCTGGGTTTGATGCTAGGCTTCGAGAGCTCCGAGATGAGAGGCAAAAGCTCTTGGAAGTCCTGTGGGGGGCGGAGGAGTCCGAGGAGGCGGACGCGCGCGCGCGCGCGCGTTGCGTTCGCCGCCGGGCCGCTCCGGCGGCGCGGCCGGCGCCGCGCGCGGCGGCGCGCGGGGCCGCGCGGCGGCCGCAAACGGTGGCCAGAAAGCGGGACGCGGCGTCGCGCCGTGAGCTTGGTCCGCAGGTCCGTGTACGCGGGCCACTCGCGGAGCCGCTTGGGCATGTTGCGGCATCGCAGGTCGAAGGCCGCGGTCTCGTCGATCATGCCCTGGAGCAGGCCGGGCACGTCGGACCAGAGGACGCTCCGCTGGCCGTCGACGGCCTGGATGACGTCGAGGTAGAGGCTGTAGAGCTGGTCGAGCAGCCCGACCTCCTTGCGCGTCCGCAGCAGCTCGGGGTACTTGGACGTGCGGAGCGCGAAGAGCTCCTCGCCGGCGACGTACCTGTGTGCAAATCAAATCTTCAACTCGACTTCAATGGGAGGGTATTCGAACGTTTTGACACAAGCACTTCCACTGTGCTTCGAGAACTCGATGAGAGCACTCGACCCGTCCAAAAATCAGCCGAATCGACTTCGATTTGACCGAGGGAGAGAGGTTTGAAGTCTGTTTTTTCCTCGCCGGCGACGTACATCTCCATCTTGCGCTCGCGGATGCCCAGCTCGTCCTTGTAGCGCCGCAGCCGTTCGACGGCCTCCTGGGGCGGGATGCCCGGCTGCTGGGGCCCGTTGTCCTCGAAGTCGGACCGGAAGCTCCGGCAGTCGGCGACGAACTCGCGGACGTCGAGGATGAGCTGCTTCTTGTACTGGCCCTGGATTTGGGAGAGCGTGTCGGCGATGCCCTCGGCCATGTCGACGAGCTTGCGCCAGGACGGCCGCATGATCGTCTTCTGGTCCATCTCGTCCTTGTCGACCAAGCCGCCGGGAAGGTAGTGCTCGAGCATCTGGTACATGTCGAGGATGGGCGTCAGCTCCATCTCGATGGACGACTCGCGCTCGCGGATCTCGCGCAGGATGGTCATGACGAAGCGCAGGCTGTCGAGGTCCTTGACCTCGACGTGCAGCTTGTTCGTCGTCACGCGGATGTACCTGAAGGGTGATGCCGCTTCGACGCGAGCGCGCCGCGCGCGCGCGTTCCGGGAAAAAGCATCCACGAGACCGCTCCGAGACACGATCGCTCGTCCAAGCATCGGCCGAAACGAGGGGAACGCGGCCGAGGGAGGAGCCCCGGGAACGTCGCGCTCGTTTCCCGCCCCGGGACGCGCTCGAGCAAATTGTACATGGCCTCGCGCGCCTGCTGGTGGACCTTGGCGCTGTACTGGATCTTCCACTGGCGCGACTCCGCGCGGAGCTGGAGCTTGAGGTTCGCCGTGTTGAGCGTGAGCGCGCCGATGTTGTGCATCGGCGGGATGCGCTCGATCTCGCGCTCGATCTCCATGAAGCGCCGGAGCTCGACGTCGTAGTCCGTGATCGTCGGGTTGCCCTCGACGAACTTGCGGTACTGCAGGTCCTTGTCGTCCTTCCAGAGCCAGTCGTACTTCTTGAACGTGCCCAGGCACTCCGCGACCTGGTTCCGCGTCGCGTGGAGCGCGCCCGTGAGCAGCAGCGCGACCTTGATGATCTCCGTGTCGCGGCCCAGGCGGTCGAAGAAGGCCCGCTTCCGCTCGTCGGGCATGCCGAGCTGGCCCCAGTCCCACATGCGCTTCGCGCAGCCTAAAACGGCGACGGCGGACCGGTTGATCGCGCGCTGCACGTCCTCGAGCGACGGCGACAGCCGCACGGACGGCACGCTGAGCTGGACGTCGACCTCGAAGAAGGGCCGCTGGACGAACAGGAACCCCGTGCCGCCGCGCGCGCAGACGCGCTTCTTGATCTGGTTCAGCGAATTCCGCGCGCAGTTGAGCAGCGCCTGGTACGTCATCCGGTTGTAGTGCACGCGGAGCGCCGACAGCTCCGGCTCCGGCAGGTCGGGCACGGAGGGGTCCAGGGGGAACTGCTTGAGCATGGCGATGAGGTCCTCGACGGCCGTTTCTACTTCGAGATTCTTCGACACGAGCATCTCCGTCTGCTCCCGCACCGCGAGCTCCTGCATGGACACGAACTCGTCGAGCGTCACGGACTTGTCCTCCGGGAGATCCACCAAGATGGTCCGCGCGATGATCTTGAGATTCTTCTCGATGCGGTTCTCCACGAGGTCGTTGATCTTCGTGATGAGGTCCTCGAGCTGCTGCAGCGCGAGGTGCACCTGCGCGGGAAAAGAGAGATGCAACGTCGCTTCAACGTGAGTGTTCCGCGCGCTCGCGTTCCGGAGAAAAGCATCCACGCTTCGAGGCCGTTCCGAGAGATGATCGCTCGTCCAAAGATCAGCCGAAACGAGCGGAAAACGACCGAGAGAGGAGCCTTTGAAGTTGGGAATGTCGCACTCTTTTCCGCCCCGAGGTGCACCTGCGCCTGGTACGTGGAGATGTTCATGCTCGTCCAGGTCAGCGTGACCATGCCCGGCCGCAGCTTGCACTCCAACGTCTGGAGGTGCGGGCTCAGCACGGACGCCGTCTGGGGCTGGATGCGGCCGCAGACGCGGTCGTACTCGGAGAGCGCGTACTTGAGCTCGTTGTAGAAGCCCTTGAACCGGTCCTCCTGGCTCAGCACCATGCGCGACTCCTCGGGGATGTCGATGCCCATGCGCGTGAGGCACTTGGCCTCGCGGATGAGCTGCAGCACCTGCGCGTCGAAGTTCACGAAGAGCTTCTGGCTGTGCGGGTGGCGGATGATGAGCGTCGCCTGCAACCCCGCGCGCGCGGCGCCGACGCTCTTGCACCAGGCCTCGTACCACAGGTACTCGAAGGCGATGAGCGTGCGCGCGACCTTGTTGTAGGTGCGCACGATGCGCTTCGACTCCTTCGACGCGAGCACGGCCGAGTTCGACTGGAACCGGCTCATGGGGTCCTCGATGCGCCGCAGGAGGTGCCGCGCCCAGGTGATGTTCCCGGCGACGGGCGGCATGTTCCGCGCCGTCGGCGGGCTGTGCTTGTGGTTCTCGTAGGTCTCCTGCACCGACGCCAGCTCGAGGCCGTAGTTGTGGAAGATGATCATGAATTTCGAGTCGAGGTCGCTCCGGAGGTTCTCGCGATGGAGGATCGACTGGTACTTCTTCAGGAGGCTCAGGGACTGCTCGATGGACGAGATCGACTCGAAGCTGCGGTTGATGAAGTGCTGCAGCGACGTCTCCAGCTCGCCGATGCGCACGTTGAACTCGACGTAGTCGCGGTCGAACTTGTTGCTGTGGTAGTCCAGCAGGTCGTGGCGCTTCTCCTTGAACTGGACGATGATCTGGTCGAAGACGACGAGCAACGGCTCCATGCCCTCGAGCTTGTGGTCCACGAGCGCGTGGAACTGCTGGATCGTCGAGAACATGTCGATGAGCTTGATGACGCGGCGGCAGAAGAGGTCGAACTTGCCGAAGATCTGGGCCTCCGCGAAGTCGAACTGGCGCCCCTTGGGCATGGTCAGCAGCTTGTCCTTGGTCACGCGGTACTGCTCCTGGTAGAACTCGTTGAGCCGGAGGCACGACTCGAGCGTCTCCAACAGCGGCTCCGTCGGCCGGCTCCAGAGCTTCTGCGGCGAGTCCTTGCCGTTGATGGCGAGCTTGCAGCTCTGGATCATCTGGTTCGTGATCTTCATGAACAGTTTCGTCATGCGCTCTGTCGTGTTGAAGAAGCGCGAGATCGTGTGGACCATCTTTAAAGCGTTCATGAGCGCGGGGATCGAGTCGACGATCGTCTCCGGCGTGCCGCTCTGGAGCGGATCCAGAAAGCGCTCGAGCGTCGACAGGAACTTGGAGTTGTCCTTGGCCTCGTTGGCGGCCTTGGTGATGCAGACGTCGATCTGGCGCCAGCGGCGCATGAGGCCCAGGATGTGGTTCCGGTTGATCATCGCGTCCTCGGGCTGCTTCGTCACGGACGTCAGCAATACGATGACCTGCTTGCAGCGCTTCGTCTTGAGCTGGTCCGTGATGGACGTGAGCCGCTGCATGCGCCGCCGCCAGTACTCGAGCTCCGTCGCGGGCCCGGAGTCCGTCGTCTCCCATCTTGAACGGTCCGTGTCGCCGAGGTAGACCTCGATGGACGCGCACCACTCCTCCAGGAGCTCGATGTAGTGCGTCACGATGGCCGGGTCCGCCGCCGCGGTGACGGCGTCGACGTCCGCGACGTCCGGGTTCGGCTGCTGCAGCTCCAGGCCGCCGCCGAGCGACTTGATGTTCTCCTGGACGTTGCGCACGAAGCCCTCGACGCCGACCATGAACTCGTTCTTGTGCTCGTCGCTCGACGCGCCCCAGACGTGCCTGCTGTCGCTCGCGAGCATGGGGCTGTAGAGCGTGCGCAGCATGGCCTCGAGCGACTGGAGCGGCTGGCCGATGGTGCCGAAGAAGAGCGCGCCGTCCTGCGCCTTGAGCGGGTCCAGCGCGACCTTGTCGTCGCGCTCCTTGCCCGGCCGCTTCATGAAGTAGACGACCTTGGCCATGGCCGACGACGGCAGCGACTCGAGGTCGCTGCCGTCGCTGTAGTAGAGCGCGACGTCGTCGTTGTGCGAACACGTCTTCTTCTGGAGCGCCGCCGCGTCCTCGGGCGTCGACCGCCGGTTGCCGCCGAGCTTCTCGCAGAAGATGAAGATGCGCGTCGGCCCGTTCGCGCGGAAGAAGGCGTTGATGCGGCTGATGAAGTTCTCCTTGCGGATGAGCTCCTCGATCATCTCCTCGTCGTCGAGCTTGAAGGCCTCGTTGATGCGCGACACGATGTAGCGGTGCCGCGCCTGGAGCGCCATGGCTCCGGCGGGCTCGGTTTTTCAAAAAGCGCGCCGGGCGCCGGGGGCGTCGGAGGGCCTCGGCCGCGACCGCGACGCGAGGGCGCCGACCTAGCCCAGCCCAACAGCGCGCGCTGCCCCGACGGGTTGTCGGCTGATTTAATTGGTAGTTCCTCGTCATGGTGAAGAAGCATCGTTGCTCTCGGCCCCGAGCGGGGCAGCCAATGGAGACGACCATGGCGGCGACGGGCGGCGGGACCTTCGCGGCGACGCGGCCCACGACGCTGAAGCGGTCCGCGGGCCGGCCCGCGACGACGGCGACGCTGCGGCGGCCCCTCGCCGCGGCGGCCCTGCAGCGGCCGTCGACGTCCTGGCAGACGCGCGTCGCCCAGCGCGAGGCGCACCTCGCGGCGTCGACGCCGCGCTGGGCGAACCGCGACCGCGCGGCGGAGGAGCCCGCGCGGCGGCCCCTCGCGGACCGCGGGAACCGCGAGCCGCGCGGGCCGCGCGCGTACCCGGCGAAGAGGGCGCCGCCGCCGCCGCCGGACTTCCCCGACGGCTGGAGCCGCCGGGGCCGCGGGACGCTGGAGCGCGTGCGCGGCGGCGAGTACGTTTTCGAGGGCCGGAGCGCCGAGTCGCCGTGCCTCGCGCGCGCGCCGCCGCCGCGAACGCCCCGGGGCGAGGCCTACGAGGTCTCGGCCAAGTTCAAGCCCGCGCGCCACGTCGGCGACCACCTCCACGTCTGCCAGTCCTTCTTCCTCGCCTTCGAGATCGTCGGCGACGCGTGGCTCGCCGCGGGCGTCTCGCGGGGCAACGTCGTCGTCGACAGCTTCCCGGGCGGCCGGCGGCTCGCCGAGGCGCGCGCGCCGGCGGCGTCGCGGCCCTGGCGCGAGGTCGCCGTCGCCGTGCGCGGCCGCGACGTCGCCGTGGCGCTCGACGGCGTCGAGCTGTTGCGGGTCTCGACGGACCGTCCGCGCGACGCGGCCGCGGGCCACGGCGTCATGGTCTACAAGGCGCGGTGCTTCGTCAAGGACGTCGACCGCGAGCGGCGGGCCGTGGCCGCGCGGCCGCCGCCGGCGCGCGCGCGCGACCGGTTCCCGCGGTTCCGCGGCCGCGGCGACGTCGTCGTGCGCGCGGCGAACCGCACGGACGTCGGCCGCTTCTGCCGCGCGTGCGCCGGAGGCCTGGCCCTCGGCGGCGACGTCTGCGTCTGGCGCCGGGGCCTTGCGGTTCATCGTTACCACGTCGCCTGCGCCGAGGCGGAAGGGGACGAGGCGGAGCCCGCGCCGACGTCGACGGACGACGCGCGGCCCTGGCGGGGCACCGCCGTCGCGGAGCCCGACGACCCCTCGAAGCTGTCGCCGCCGGTGCCGGCGCCGCGCCTCGCCGCGCTCGAGCGGTCGATCTGCGCGCCGGGCACCTTCGACGGAGCGGACGACTGCGACATCTGCCTCGCGCCGCTCGCGTCGAAGCCCGTCGTCCGCGTGCCCTGCCAGGGCGGCCACGTCTTCCACCTCGGCTGCCTCCGGCCCTGGCTCGCCAAGTGCTCGCTCTGCCCGAGGTGCCGGGGCGGTCTGAAATTCCCGAAAACAGCGGGGGGCCCGGACGCGGCGGCGAAGCAGCACGCCGCCGTCGACGCGGCCGTGTTTCTGGGCGCGGGAGCGCGGGCCGACGAGCGCGCGCGCATCGCGCGGCGGCACGCGGACGCGGCGGAGCGCCGCATCGCCGAGGCCGCGGCCGCCGCGGCGACCGAGGCCGCGGCCGCCCGGCGGAAGGACGACGACGGCGACGCGCCGGGGGACGAGCTCCGGCCGCCGTCGCCGCCGGGCGTCGTCGCCGGCATGATGACGTGCGTCGGGGGGCTGCCGGCGTGCTAAGTTGCGGCCGCGGGCGAGGGTGCGTGTTCAACTTGCCGACATTGACTTTTAGCTACTTTCCTGGCCTGCCACGGAGGCCGGAGCCAAAGCCGCGCCCAGAGCTGGCCGGCGCGAACGCCGGAAGATCCTCGCGCGGGGGCCACAAAAATAATGATCAAGACCATGACGGAGCTGTGCGTGTCGAGCACCGTGGACACGCCGCGGTCAAGTCTCATCTCTCTCACGTCGCGCAAGGCCCCCGGGGGCCGGTCGAAGAAGGGCCACAAAGCTTCCCGGCGGTCCTGGCGCGTCGGGCGGTCGTCGGGCGGCGGCGACGCCCCGCCCGCCGACGGCGACGCCGACGCGAAGCGCATCGTCGGCGCCTGCCCCTGGCTGAGCAACGTGCCCTACATCGCCGCGGGGAGCGACCTCGACCGCGTCGCGGACGTCGTGTCCAGACACTACCGGGGCGAGTTCTGCTGGGCCGCGTCCTTCGAGCCGCGGCTCGTCGCGGCGCTCATGGCCCGGGGCTTCCTGACCATGGCCCAGCGCGTCGGCCGCGAGGGCCACGCGCTCCTGCCGAAGATGCACCGGCAGCGGTGCGCGTTGGTCTTCCCCGACCTGCACGTGTCGCGGTCCGCGCGCCGCAAGGCGAAGCAATTTTCTCTGTCCGTGGACACGTCCTTCGACGCCGTCGTCGCGGGCATCCGCGAGCAGCACGGCGACGAGTGCTGGTTCTACCCGCCGCTCGTCCGCGCGTTTAAAGCGCTCTTCGAGGGCCGCCTGGCGGGCGACGGCGCCGCGCCGCCCGTGACCATGCACACCTTCGAGTGCCGCGACCGCAAGACGGGCGCCCTCGTCGCCGGCGAGCTCGGCTACGCCGTCGGCGACGTCTACACGTCCCTGAGCGGCTTCTCGCGAGCGCCGTCCGCGGGCTCGGTCCAGTGCGCGGCGACGGCCAAGGCGCTCCAGCTCAGCGGCTACGGCCTCTGGGACCTGGGCATGGAGCTGCCCTACAAGATCGCCATGGGCGCGTCGACGCTGCCGCGCCTCGACTTCCTCAAGCGCCTCGACGCCGCGCGCGCGGCCGGGCCCGTGGCCATCGTCCTGCCGCCGGGCGACGACGCGCGCGCGCTCCTCGACGCGCCGCCGCGCGCCGACTCGGTCCGGTCCGACGAGTGAGTCGGGGGGGGCACTCTGCATATACGACACCCTCGAGAAAATTGTTAGTCGTAGCGCCGGCCGCCGCCGGACGAGAGGAGCACCTTCTTCCGGCCGCCCTTCTTCCCGCGCCGCGGCGGCGAGGCCGCGTCGACGCCCGCGAGCGCCGTCGCGAGCGCGCCGGCGAGGTCCGCGGAGCCGCCGAAGTCGACGGCCTCGCCCGCGTCGTCGACGACGGCCGACTCCGCGGGCGGCGCCGCGGGCCGGCCCCAGCGAGGCGGAGGGGCCGGCGCCGGCGCGCGGCCCCCGCCGAGCTCGGGGAAGGCCGACGCGACAGAAAACAAGTCCCTGTTCACGGTCGCCGCGAAGGACATCTGGTTCGGCGACGACCCGAGCGCCGGCGCGGCCTCGGCGCCGTCGCCGTCGTCGGAGTCGTCGTCGTCGTCGCGGCCGACGCGCGCGCCGGCGCCGGGGATGGGCACGGCCTCGGACGAGAGGCGCCCGAAGTCGCTCCGCGAGTAGGCGAAGGGGTCCGCCTTCTTCGGGAGCCGCGCCTCGCCGTGCTTCGCGTGGCGCTTCTCCTCGCGCTTCGCGCGGTCCCTTTCCTTTCTCACCGCGTCCGCGCGCTCGCGCAGGCCCGCGTCGAGGCCCTCGTCGGCCCTGCGCGCGTCGGCGCAGCGCTTCGCCCAGGCGTCGTCGCCGTCGCCGGCGATCTTCGTCGCGTCGAGCAAAGCAAAGTCCGTCCCGAGCGGCACGTGCGCCGCCCAGGGGAACCGCCTCCGCGCCTCCTCCGTCTGCTCGACGCGCTCGACGTGCGACACCGTCGCCGTCAACGTCCGCGGCAAGGCGTCGCTGTCGCCGCCCGCCGCCGCGAGGAGCAGCTTCAGGAAGAGCGGGTGCAGGAACTCGAGGGCGCCGTCGCGGCGCCCGTAGAAATAATACGCCTTTTCCGCGGCGTCCAAGGGCACGTCGACGGCGTCGCGCGGCCGCGATGCCGCCGCCGCGCGCACGGCCGCGAGCGCCTCGACGGCGACGGCGACGTCGCGCCGCTCGACGGAGTCGTCCGCGGCCGCGGCCGCGGCGGCCGCCGCGTCGTCGAAGCGCGCCCAGGCCCGGTCGAAGGCCGCGCCGTCGCAGGCCGTCAGCTTGCCCAGCGGCTCGCAGAGATCCCCGTCGTCGCGCTCGCAGTGCGCCCGGGGCGCCCGCGCGGACCGCGGCCGCCGCAGCAGGACGAGCTCGATCGCGCGTTTCGCCGCGGCCGGCGGCGCGTCGCGCTGCCGCACGCGGCAGGGCCTCAGGTCGCCCACCCGTAGCGGCCCGCCGCAGCAGGGGCAGCGCGCGCTCCGGCTCACGTCGTCCATCTTCGCGTGGCGCACGACGCAGGGCCCGCAGAAGACGTGGCCGCAGCGCGCGGCCACGGGCATGCGCGCCGCGTCGAGGCAGACCTGGGCAGGAAAAGGGTGATTCAAGTTCTCTTCAACATGAGTGTTCCGCGCGCGCGCGTTACAAAAAACACATCCACGCTTCGAGACCGTTCCGAGAGACGATCGCTCGTCCAAAAATCAGCCGAAACGAGTGGAAAACGGCCGAGCTCGGAGCCTTTGAAGTTGGGAATGTCGCTCTCTTTTCCTGCCCCGAGGCAGACGGGGCAGTCGACGTACTCGCCCCCGAAGACGTCCAGCGCGACGACGTCGGCCCAGTCCGGCGCGCAGTCGGCGTCGGCGACGAGCGGCGAGCACGCCGGCGCGTCCACGAGCAGGTGCGCCGAGGCCTGCTCGAACGCTATACCTTTTGCCCGAAACGCCTTGTGCGGCCGCGCCTTCGGCCGCGGCGCGGGCTTGCTCGGCCGGTCGCGGTCGCTCGTGAAGCGCAGCAGGTGGTCCGCGCGGCGGCCGCCGCCGCGCGGCGGCGACCCGCGCGCGGGCGAGCCCGAGCCGAGCGACCCGACGGCCGCGGCGACGTCGCCGCCGCATGCCGCGAGCGCCTCGCGCGCGGCGGCGGCGTCGTAGCCCATCTCCAGGAGTCGGTGCAGACCCGGCGGCTCCTTGCGGCCCTTGCCCTTGCCCCGGCCCCGGCCGCGGCCGCCGCGGCCGCCGCCGCTGCCGCTGCGGCCGCCGCCGCTGCGGCCGCCTCGCTGCGACGGCTCCTTGGGGTTCGGTCGCGGCGATGTCGGCGCCGGTGGCGGCGGCGGTGCTGGCGCCGAGGCCTGCGGCGCTGGCGGTGGCGGCGTCCAGCTCGGCGCGTCGATGCGCCAGCCAGACGAGGACTGGCGCTCCATGCCGACCAGCTCCGCCGTCGGCCGCCGCGCCGGTGCGACTGTCCGAGCCAGCGCGTTCCCGCTCGAGCTCGAGCGCTCAAAGGGCGCCCTCGTCGTCGTCGCGGCGCGGTCTCGAGCGCGCGCGCACGTCTCGAGCGCGCGCGCGCGTCTCGAGACGCGCGCGGCGCGTCGGACGCGTGGCGCAATGAAAGGATTGATAGAAAAGATCAAGGCCGAGAGCGCTGCGGTCGTCAACCCGTGCTTGCGCGTCAAGGCCATGTCTTTCAACCACCACCAGCGCCTGCGCCTCACGCTCACCGACGGCGACGCGACGATCGCGTGCAACGTCGCGCAGAAGCTGAACGTGACGCTGCGCGGCCTGGGCATCGGCGGCGTCGTGCGCCTGACGAACTATCTGCTGAACACGATCAAGGGCGAGCAGGTCGTCATCCTGCTCGGCGCCGAGCTCGTCGCGCCGCCGCGCGCCGTCGCGCCGCCGCGGCGGCCGCCGCGCGCCGTCGCGCCGCCGCCGCGTCGCGAGGTCGTGGCGACCGTCGCGCCGCCGCCGCCGCCGCCGCTGCCCGCGATCGCCGAGGAGCCCGCGTCGCGGCCCGAGGCGCCGGCCGCCGCGGAGCCGGAGACGAACGAGGCGACGATGGACGCGCCGCCGCCGGGCGTCTTCGTCACGTCGGGCTCCCGGAAGCTTGTGTGCCCGTCGGATGCCGCGCTGAAGAAGGCGACGAAGCTGATGAGCGACTCGGAGCCGGCGAAAGCCGCCGCGCCGACAAAAGCCGCCGCGCCGCCGGCCGAGCTGGACGCGCCGCCGGCGCCGCCGCCGGGCGTCTTCGTCACGTCGGGCTCGCGAAAGCTCGTGTGCCCGTCGGACGCGGCGCTCAAGAAGGCGACGAAGCTGATGAGCGACTCGGAGCCGGCGAACGCCGCCGAGCCGGCGGCCGAGCCGGAGGCGCCGGCGCCGCCGCCGGGCGTCTTCGTCACGTCGGGCTCCCGGAAGCTCGTGTGCCCGTCGGACGCGGCGCTCAAGAAGGCGACGAAGCTGATGAGCGACTCGGAGCCGGCGAAAGCCGCCGCGCCGGCGGCCGAGCTGGACGTGCCGCCGGCGCCGCCGCCGGGCGTCTTCGTCACGTCGGGCTCCCGGAAGCGCGTGTCGCCATCGGACGCGGCGCTCGAGAAGGCCACGAAGCTCATGAGCGACTCGGAGCCGGCGAAAGCCGCCGCGCCGACTGCCGAGCTGGACGCGCCGCCGGCGCCGCCGCCGGGCGTCTTCGTCACGTCGGGCTCCCGGAAGCTCGTGTGCCCGTCGGACGCGGCGCTCAAGAAGGCGACGAAGCTGATGAGCGACTCGGGCCCGACGAAAGCCGCCGCGCCGGCGGCCGAGCTGGACGCGCCGCCGGCGCCGCCGCCGGGCGTCTTCGTCACGTCGGGCTCGCGAAAGCTCGTGTGCCCGTCGGACGCCGCGCTCAAGAAGGCGACGAAGCTGATGAGCGACTCGGGCCCGGCGAAAGCCGCCGCGCCGCCGGCCGAGCCGGAGGCGCCGGCGCCGCCGCCGGGCGTCTTCGTCACGTCGGGCTCCCGGAAGCGCGTGTGTCCGTCGGACGCCGCGCTCGAGAAGGCGACGAAACTCATGAAGGACGCCGGGGCGACGAAGGCGTCGAGACCCGCGGGGCCGAGGCCCATCGTCGTGCCGCGGCCCGTGGCCGCGCCCGCCAAGCCGGCGGCGCCGGCGGCGGAGGTCGACGACGAGCCGCCCGCGGTCACGCCGGGCGTCTTCGTCACGTCGGGCTCGCGCAAGCTCGTCTGCCCGTCGGAGGCGGCGCTGAAGAAGGCGTCGAAGCTCATGAACGACGCGCGGGCCGCGAAACCCGCGGCCGCGAAGCCCAAGGGCCCGAGACCCATCCGCGTGCCGAAGCGCGTGGGCCCGCCGAAGCCCGCGCCCGCGCCGCAAGACGCGCCGCCGCCCGCGGTCCCGGCGGGAGCCGCCGTCGCGGCGGCGATGGCCGCGATCACGTCGC